TGCAAATGGGCATGAGTAAATCCTGATAAATTGATTTACAATAACTGCAAATGGGCATGAGTAAATCCTGATAAATTGATTTACAATAACTGCAAATGGGCATGAGTAAATCCTGATAAATTTGTTTACAATAACTGCAAATGGGAATGAGTAAATTTGAATTGGAAGCATAAAAAGGACCCTGTAAATACCCTGACAGGGCTATACTCCAGCTGCAGGTGTGGGGTAGTTTTGTTACAGGTCGGGTATGATATGCGGAGCACTTTGAGAGTCTGTTGCAGATGAGTAACTGACATCTGTACTTCTTGAAGTGACTGCCTGCAGATTACGGATTATTATATTAGGAAAATTACCAATTTTTGTGTTAAAGTTTGTCTGTGTGTGTTATCATAAGTGTTTTGACTGTGTGTTAGAGGAGCTCCTATTTTATTGTGCTGGAAATTGTCTGTGTGTGTGAATGGTCGGTTATATGCTTTGGTGGTGTGTTAAAGACATTTTTCTTTTCTCATTAAAGTAGCTATGGAAACTGGATATGATGATAGTAACATGTGGCTAAAATTGGTTCAATACACAGCTGCCAGTACTAATAATATTGATTGTGTAGCTTGTGCTAAGGTTAGACCAACTTCAGGTACAGCCCCCTTCAAATTAAATAATCAAAATGATCCTGAGGGCCTTAGATGTACAGTGAAATTGTTTGGAAGTGCAATAGTCCCTACTGGAGAAAAATGTAGAACTCTGTATTTTCTCTTCCCACCAGTTCAAAGACGACATCCCCCCATCAGTGGTAGTATATCCTGGAAATTATTCCTGTTTCACTAGAACCGGAGGAGGAGTAAATGTAGGAATGTTGCCTAAAAGTTATTGCTCAGAAGACTTAAATATCACCAGGCATAATGAGGGCTATGCATCTAGTGAGTTTCTTCAGCATAGCACCTCTAGGGCTGATTTGTGGTGGCTATGTGGTGACCGTAAGTTAAGGCCTGTGTTACCACCTGACTGGGCTGGGTCTTGTGCCATTGTTCAATTGATAATGCCCTTTCACATACTCCCCATTAACGGAGATGCCTTGATTAATCTATTCTCTAAAATGCCACATCTCTTATGGCTTGGCAAAATAGAATGGCACTTGACATGTTACAGGCTGAGAAAGGAGGGGTTTGTAAGATGTTTGGTGACTTCTGCTGCACTTTCATTCCTAATAACACTGCTCCTGATGGAAGCATCACTAGGGCCCTAGCAGGCCTGACCTCTTTGTCCTCAGAACTGGCAGGAAACTCAGACATCGAGGACCCATTTGGTGGTTGGTTTGACCCACAGTTTGGTAAATATAAAGCCCTGATAATATCCCTGTTGATATCCTTTTCTACTTTTGCTTCCATTCTGGTCTGTTGTGGTTGTTTTATCCCTTGTCTTAGGACCCTGATAAATCGTTTAATCACTACTGCTCTCTCCAAAGAAAAGGACCCTCCTCCTTACCAGATGCCCCTGATAGGTGATACCGAGTGGCTGGACTTCTGTGAGGTAGAGATGGAGTTGGGGGTGAACTGGAAGGATGGAGAAATAGAAGGCCAGGTGTAGACACCATGCCACCACAGTTGAAAAGTAGAGGGCATTTTTCTAGTTTGTTTACACCTTTTCAGGTGTAAAAGGAGGGTAAACCTGGACAAGGTCAGAATTTTCTTTTTTTTTATTTTATATTTTCCTTATATAGCACATACTTATATTTCTATATTTTTATTATATAACATGCACTCATGGGCATAATAATTGGACTCATTTAAGAAAATCAGTAGATATTACATCTTGACTGTTATTTTATTTTTTTTGTCCTACAACTCATTATGTCTGTTTCTGTTTATATCCAGGTTCACTGCAGGCCACCACGGTGATCGCCCAAAAGGAGTCCCATGCAGACAGTTTTCCCTATAAAATCATCATAATGGAGTTTTTTCGTCTCTTGAGGATCCAGGGGGTTGTGCATGACAATTTTCCCCCACAACTCATCATCATGGGGTTTTTTCGTCTGCACCGCAGTGACATTAAGAAATGATGAGAAATCTATTAAAGAAGAAATGACGTGTTTGCATTGAAACTGTGTGTCCAACAGTACAGACAATTGTGT